AGTAAAACCCAAGAAGAGTGTTACACCTTCGCTATTTCCAAAAGAAAAAAAAAAAAATGTTTGCACCAAATCTGGGCATCTCTGTCCCAGCACAGAGCTAAGAAGAGCAGAGGGCAGACCCAGGGTACTGTTTGAACACAGCTGAGCTGTAGGGATGAGTTTCTGCTGGAGCCTTTTACCTGCTGCTTCCCAGTGAGCTGTCTGGCACATCTACCTCGATATGATAGAGCAAGCTCTGCTTAATACACACTTCATGTTTCAGATCTTTCCAGAAAGACAAACGGTTTTGTTCCTGCCAGTTGTGAACATTACATGTTTGCCTGGGAGATGCTGTGCTTGTTTGCCACAAATGTAATTAGATGATCAGTCACGAGGAGTCAGGGAGAAATACCGGCATTGCAAATAAACGTATTTTTCAGTTTGCTCTCTGAAAAGAATGGGGAGTTAACTACAAAGGAGAGAAAAACTCTGGCTCTGCATTCACAGCCTCTATCCTGGATCCCTTTTCCCTGTCATTTCCATCAGGGAGTAGCAGACAGACAGCAGATTTCCTCCAGTTGCTGAAAGGCATCTGGAAAGCATGGGAATTTGTTCAGAGAGGCTATTTTCCTCTGGATGGCAAACTGCTTCCCAGTGAGGCCATGCTTGAACAGGGGCATTCAAGGAAGTTAACGTAAGGGGGATTAGTGCAGACCCGGGTGTGCGCCTGAGCCGACGGAAGGGGAAAGAGCAGAGATACTGTGTGCGATGCAGGCATGCTGCTGCACTGCTGGCATCAAACACAAGGCTGCAACCTTGCTGCTCTGTCCTGCCCTTGACCTCTCAGTAAATCCATATCTGGATTAGCTCAGCCATACTAAAAAATCTGTGTGGACTCCGGATGGGAATTAAAGTGGCTTTACTGCAGTTAATTCACAAAGGAATTTGTTTCATTTCAGGACTCTACCCACATCTGCATCCAAAATCTCAGCTAAAACTGAGACTGTTTTGCCTCTAGCAGTAGTGTACAGGGATAGTGAAACTCAACAAGGTCCCACAGGGACAGGGCATAGCGAGGAGCCATTTGCACTACCTTTTCTCTGTAATTACGATCCCTTCCCTCTGCCTCCATATGAAAATGCAGGTGCCTGGACAAACACAGTAAAAATGGTGACTAGAAAAGAGAGCGCTTTTTAAGCGCTTCTTTTTTCTCTACTGAGAAACTGTCAGCAGTAAAATAAAAAGTGCTCCTTAAAGCAGTGCTGAAAGACTCACAAGACACTCTAATGGCCACCATAATGCTTCCAAATGATGCCAGTTCTGTGTCTGGAGAAATTAAGATTATTTTTAGGACTGAGAACTCAAACTCTCAGAAGCTAGAAATTAAGAGTTGTCCATGTAACTGTAGTTTTGAACCGTATGGATATGTACTAGATACAGCCTTTAACTGCAAGATCACAAATTACACTGTGTTTTACTTTCCCTGTTTTATGCAAAATATTTGAAACCTTGTGTTTCATTTTCCCAAATTAAAACTTTTTTTAAAAATAGAAACACCAAACCTTTTCATTTGTACTTTCAAATACAATCTTTTAACTTTCCTCATGATGATCAGCCACATGAAAAGACAAAAATTATCGCTGTAAAGACAGTTGTACCAAAAGAAAAAAAAAAATCTTGCAGAAGGAAATGGAAGAGAATTTTTGTTCACTTTATCCAGGGCCTTCTATATCCTCCCTAACCCCCATCAAGTAAATGCCCAATAAACAGACATGAGAGATTAGCTGCATATGGTTTCTCCAACTCTGCCACTGAGTTGCAATGACCTGTAAAATGAGCAGGGCTAGAATCACTGTGTACATAAACTCCCCCTTATTTCGGGCCTTTTCTCCATGAAACACAGTTCTGTTTTGTGAACTGCAGTCAGAGCTCAGAAGGAGCTGGAATAGGACCAAGGGACTAATCCTGCACATATATCAAATCGTTCCAGTCCTTTTATACTTTTAAGATACTTTTCCATGTACCTGCTTTTTTTTTTTCATCCTGCATTTTATGCATGTTTCTGCCTTCTCTAGATCGTTTTGCATTATCAAAGGGCAACAGGAGAAAAGAAAAAACTGTTGCTGCATTTAGCATTGATTTTTCCCCTTCACTCTGAGTCACAAAAGCTAACATTTAATTAATTTCTGACACTTTGACAGTTTCTAAGAAGACATTTGTAGAGCTATCAAGTGCGCTGATGGCACTGTCAGACAGACACTTTTTGAATTATCAGCTATTAAGGACCTATATGCAACAAATTTCCAAGGATTATTATACAAATTGTTCTTTGAATGAGAAACGCACACAAAAGCTCAGTGAAACATAAAGAAACCATTGTTCCCAGGTGAATTTGATATTTGCAAATGTTTTGCTATTTTGATCACTTACATGGTTTAATAAATCGAATTCACTTTGTCTTTCATTATGAAAATCAAATGGCCTGTTTTGGGATGTCCGAGAACATGGCCAGATTTTTGAATCACGGAGGTCTTTATGGGGGTACAGCTTGAGAAACACAGAATACCTGGTTTTAGGAAGAGCTGAGCACTGAATGAGGTCCCTTCAAGATCTCTCAAACCAGAAACCCCAAAAGCAAAGTAGCCAAAAAATCTCCCGTTGCTTTTAAACAGCTCTTGCCTTTACTCTTTGATTATGCTTTCTGACATATCACCGTTTCTTGATGTAGTGACTACTTCAGGCCCAGATCTGGATACTTTGCTTTTAAACACACAAACCAACCTGGCAAGGGGCTGAATTGATCAACATGGATTAATGCCATTCCAGAGACCCTCTGCAGCTGTGGGTGGCAGTTCAGGTAGGACAACTCTATTTTTGCTGGCCTCGCTGTACTGATTTACCAGTTGACAAAAAAAGCTTTGTTTTGACAAATGTGACAAAGCTGTGTTTCACCTTGCTCGATGTTAGCATTCGTCTGCCTCTGCTGTATGCCAGAGCTGTGTTGTTATGATCAGACTGCTCCACTTGCTTGTCCTTGGAGCATCCGGCATCAGGAGTTCTGGTGAGCTCAGGGAACCTACCAGCTCATAAAGTGAAATTCAGCTCAGTGCTCCTTTGTGGCTCTCTGAAGGGCAGACTCAGGTGCATGCCGGTCAGATCTGAGCGTGTCCAGTTCTGCCTGTACTACCAGCTCGGTTGTGCAGGGGACAGCGATGATTTGCAGACTGACGGAATACTTTACAACACTTTAGCCCATACTGTTACAGCAAGCACACGTCATGCGGAAATCCCTTCTTTTTCTAAGTGTGCAGAAACTCCAGCAGGACCCAGTCATGGTGCGGAAATACCAAGAAGACGGTGCCAACCACGACGAGCACCCACTGCACAGATTCTGCCCTGGGAACTCTTTAGTGAGCCCAACTAAACGAGAGCCAAAAGAGCCTCGCCACACAGCTCGGAAAAAGTCTTTCCAGTACGCCAGAGCCAGTGGCCAAATACACTGCAGTCTCATTGCAAATGGGGATTTTGTTTTTCCTATGCTGGCACCAGACAAAGACCCCAACACAGACACCTGCTGCCAAGGTCTGCATGATATAGCCTGTTTCTTTCAATGTGGACATATGTGCAGTTGGATGCCAACGATCAAGGGGTATGCAGAGTCTCGATACAACTGCTTTGCATTACCTGCTGGCATAAAAGCCATATAACTTCACGGACATTCATGCACTTTCACTAGCCTGCACCATACAGAAATATGACCTGTGAGATATCAGTTCTACTGTAGTGTATCATCAGAGCAGAAACCACGACCTTCCCTTCACACACCACATCCCGCACTTGAGCTTTGCTCATACGTCTTCTTCAGCAGAGAGTAGCTTTTTGCTGTCTGCATTTGCAGCTAGTAACTCACAAACCTCTGTATCCAGACAGCAACATTTCTTTAGAATATTGTTTCCTCATCTCTGTTCAGTTCATTTTCACTCCTCTTCCTCTTCACGCCTAAAAAAAAAATGCCTCTAAGCCTGTGATCCAATCCACAGCCAATGGAAACCAAAGGAAGGCCTCTCTGCGCCAGGCCCCTTTCTGTGTGCAGAAAATGGCCAAGCTAAGGAAGCAGAGCACAGAGGCAGCCCTGTGAGACAGGAAAAGTCCAAAGGACTAAAAGACACTTGCAGTTGGTCTTTGCTACGCTTGCATAAAACAAACACAAAAACCTAAATAGGTTCTAAGGAGCTCTACAGCAAACCCCATGGTTTGTTTATGTGTTACCTTTGCAAGAGCGCACAGCACGTGGCCATCGGCCAGGGAAGAAATGATGATTTGCCGTGATGCCACGGACTTCAAAGGAGACGCAGTGCCAGGAGCTGTAGAATCACGCACCCACCATTTCCCCCTTTGCACTGCAGCCTCACTGGGGGAATGGCAGAAGGCAGGCACAGTCCAGACCTGACTTCAAAACTGCTACTGTCAAGTTTCATTATCATCAGAATTCGGTTCACAGAGGGGTTTTTTTATTTATTTGTTTCCCTGCTGGAGGAAAAAAATAAGGAAAAGCAAAGGGGGGTGAAAAAAACCCAAACCACACAGCCCAAAGCCCCATGAAGCGCATGAAAAAATAAACCAAGTGGGTCATGGCACATCCGCCCTGAACTGCACACGCCTAGCATGGAGCACTTAGTGGCCAGGGAACATCAGGGGAGCAGACACAAAAATCCCAGCCCCTCTGCCTGAATTCTCTGTAACACAGAGTAACTAACATCCCTGGCCACAGAAATCTGGGGGATGAAGTGGAAATAGAAGTTAACTTCTTGAATCCCTGCCTAGGTATCTGACCATCAGATCAGCCTCCCATCTGGGTCTTCATTGCGTTCCCAGTCAATCAACCATTTGCACACAGGAATTCAGGGTAGGGGGAACAGGCTCCAGAGAATCCCAAGAGTGAGGTAGTATGTGTGTAATTATTTTATTTTACATGTTGCCCTTTGACTGTCTTTTCAACATCTTTGCGTCAGGGTGGAGCTGGAACCTGGCACTTTTACCTCCATGGATCCCCTAAACCTCTCTTGGTACAACGGTGACATCGGTGACAGGAACTGGAGCAAGCCGCTCAACGAGTCCAATGCAGACCAGAAGCCTCAGTATAACTACTATGCCATGCTGCTCGCCCTCCTCATCTTTGTCATTGTCTTTGGCAATGTGCTGGTGTGTATGGCTGTCTCCAGGGAAAAAGCCCTTCAGACTACCACTAATTACCTGATCGTGAGTTTGGCAGTGGCAGACCTCTTGGTAGCAACTCTGGTCATGCCTTGGGGGGTCTATCTGGAGGTAGGTGACCCAGTTTTCTTTTGCACTACTGAATGTTTCTGGTGATTGGGTAGAGAGAGGGAAGGTTTAGCAGCCTGGACATCAGCTATTTCAAGACCTCCTGAATTTCCCAAAACAAAAGTGGTTTTCATTTCCTAAAAGTTGGTCAGTTTTTTCCAGGAAATGGACAGGACAGCAGATGACAGGCTGACTTGAAAACACACTGTTGTTCGGAGGGCTAAATTACAATCCAATTGCATTGAAAATTTGGCCATTGGCTAGAGGGATCAAGAATGAAAGGACCCCAATTTTGTTTTCAAAATGACATAGATAAACTGTTCATTCCCAAGCATAAGAATGAGTCTGCAACAACATCATGGGTGTCACACTAATAAACTGCATTAAATAGTAATCAAAACCCTATTTCTGAAATACTACAGTAGTAAGAGCAGGCAATTGTAGAAGTAGGGTGTAAATGCAGAGCTTTTATGTCTCAATATATGAGAGAAACAATCACAAGTGAGCTACTTCTCACGTTGCTGGTACAAGAGCGCTCTATGCTTCTGCATACAGAGCCATATTTGAGTGGCACTGTAATTTGTGAAAGCCAAACACTCCCAAGACTGCCGCCTGTTTACTTGATGGCAAATGAACCCTTGCAACAGTAAAGAGTCCGAAAGAATGAAATACATCTCTAGCGGAAAGAATAAGAGCAGATACACAGCCCTTCTTCCTTGGCCCCCTTCGCTGGGATGCCCATGTTCTTCAGTCAGCTGAGAGCTGGCATGCTGCTGGCAATCACAGCCAAGAGAGAATGCACAGTGGTGAGAAAGCATAAGACTGAAACTATATTGAGTTTACAATTCATTTTCAGGCACCTGTTTATGAGAGAAAATGATAAAACAGAGAGGGGAGCAGGGGAAGAAGCCATAATCAATTAGCCCATTAAATACTAATGCAAAGCAACACAAACCCACTGACATGACATAGACTGTCGAGAAACCACAATACTAATTATCACTCTAGTTAATTATTGCTTTCATGGCGCTTTAAAAATGTAAAGCATCATGCATCTGCTAAAGCTTATTAACATGACCACAGGCTGGTTGTGACTGTAGTCAATGCCTCTGGGACTAGTTCGGCTCTTCTATTGTGTTCCTCTTTTGCGACACCCATTTTAAGCAGAGGCTTATGCTGCAAGAAGCTCTTGCTCTCTTAGGCCCAGCTATAAAAGTCTCTCAGACGCTTCTTATTTTAACGTGGAAGAATAAAGCACAAACGATGTAAGATTCTTTGTCCTTTCTGGGCTCATACGTGCATGGAGTTGGTCAGGAACCTCAGCTTCCTTAGTCTACCAAGTAGGGCAATCAGGCCTCTACATCTCAGCATTTTTTTTTTATTATTATTTTTTTTTAAATTTACTTTTGCCCTTTCTGCTCTTATTCACACTCCGCTAAACCTACTGCTAGCTTGAAGCAACAAAAACCATGACAAATAGTTGCTGACAGCAAATGAGCCATTGGACTGACGTGGGTTAGGCACGCTGTGGTCTCTCTCTGGGTCTGCAGTCTGAAATCAAAACCAGCCAGAACCCTCTGCTCTGTAAATATCTTCATCTTTTTTTTTTAGGCTTTATGTCACAAGCTCGGACAAAAATGAATGTCAAAAGGAAATCCTTTTAAAAATCAGCCTCCATGCAAACAAATATTCTACCTCCAAACTTTTGAGGTTTCTCCTACATAAATGAAAGCACTAAGACAAAGAACTGCTGCAGTTTACAACATCTCCTATAAACTCGAGACTATGCATTCAGGAAACTGATTTTGCAGAGGCTTATGTCTGGCTGGAAACCTTTGCCTTTGGGCAAATTCTCATCAAAGTTACTGATGCATCTGTCTCTTAAATGCTTTTTTAATCACTGAGTATTCATCTGTCACTCAGGCTTCAATGCAGTCATTCTTTCTTCCTTCTTTATGCTGCCTATGGTTATGTATATCAGAGCAGAAATAACTGAAGAATAGGTATCTTATTCATTCTATTTTCAAATGCAGTAGGACTCTATTTTTATTAGAGGAAAATATACTTTTTTCATCACATGTCAAATACAGCAGTCCTAATAATTGCTATTAAACTTAATTGGCAAAGTTCAGTTTCAATAGCAAGAGAAGCAAAGAGAAAAAGGCTACTGGTAACTAGAAGTGTGATCATTAGTTCTTTGTCTTTATCACAACATGTAGGGTGTCAGAGAATTTTCACTGTGAATTAAATTCATTTCGTTCACAAAAAAAAAAAAAAAAGTGAGGAATATCTATCCCAATTTTTTAAACTGAGAAATGAAGGAAAGCTCCTGCTTCTCTACTGCCGATCTTTGCTAGGTATAATTGCAAAAAAAATGTCTAATAAAAAGCTGTAAGTACAATTAGAGGTGCTCGGGATATAAAATTAATGTATTTCCTTCCTAACCCTTCTTTGCCATGCTTCAGAGACCTGTTTAGGCTCCTACATAGTTCTCTCTCACTTCGAGGAGACTTGCACCCCCTTTTGTTGTTGGAATATAAGCCCAGGGTCGTGTTCGCTGTTTGGGCTGCCCAACTCAATACAGAGCAACAGGATAGAATTAGGAAGGACAAAAATCACACTAGCCTGATGCTCTAAAGAGTGGTCTGGATGGAGCAGAGTACTTCCTTTGTGTCCATCCCATCATTTGAGACCTCTAAACTAGACAGGGCAAAGTCCTCAAAGGCACTCAATGGCAAACAGTCCTACTTGACAGGGCATGTGACTGATTGCAAGTGGCCTGATTCCAGCTGGAACTACTGTAGACAAAATTTTGATCCCTCTTGAACCAGCAGAACTCCAGCTACAAGCAAGCATCTATACCTTGTGCAAAATTCTCCCTTTAGACCCTCTCGAGAGCGTATCCCCACAGAATTCTTTTACTGACCTCATTCTCTCTTTTTGCAGGTGGTTGGTGAGTGGAGGTTTAGTCGGATCCACTGTGATATCTTTGTAACTCTCGATGTTATGATGTGTACTGCCAGTATCCTCAACCTCTGTGCCATCAGCATCGACAGGTGAGGGCTCCATGGCAGCAAGTTGTGTCAAATCCACAGCAGCAAGTCACAGCCATCTTTATATGGTCTAATTTTACCTGTGACTCAGAGATTCCAAAATGGTGAGAGCTATTGTTGTTGACTTTTGACAAGCAATTTGGAGGACCTAACTGACATCTGAGCAGGGATTCCATCAGTAGCAGACATAGAAACGCTGAGAATGTAAATGGAATTATCTGTGTACGTCCTCATTAGTTGAGCCCTTCTGTTTATATACTTGAGTGGCGGAGCAGATACCAGTGGGAAAGCAGTAGCCCAGAGAGAGTGGAAGAAAAATGCTGTGCTAAGCTGACCTCAGCCTCGTGCCTTCCCAAACAGGGAATGCAGACATCCTGGAGACTCACGAAACCTGACTTGACCTGTATTCTCTTGCTGGACCAGGCTTTTCAGACACACACTAACTAGGTGTAATTTCCCACAAAGTTTGTTAGCACTGGCAGAATAACAACAGACTGGGTTTGTATCTTCACACTGCAGGTACACAGCAGTAGCAATGCCGATGCTGTATAATACCCGCTACAGCTCGAAGCGCAGGGTCACGGTCATGATTGCTGTGGTCTGGGTGCTTTCATTTGCCATCTCCTGCCCGCTCCTCTTTGGCCTCAACACCACAGGTGAGTCTTATGCCACCTGCAGCTGGCTAGTGGCATCCTCCTGGCTTTACTGGGTCCCCAGATATTCTTCTGTCACAGTCCGGAATAAACATGGGGACCAGGTCTTAGTGCATTGGGATATATCCAACCCCGTTTCAGGTGTCCTTTCCCGGCGTCATCCCAGACTATTTCTGTCAGCTGCTTCTGGATCTGTTTCATCTCCTGCTGCTCCAGACCAGTGCTTTAGACACATCAGAACTGAGGCTACTGAGAAGTTTACATAACACTCGTCAATGTTACATTAACATTTGTCCAGTACAAAATCAACATCCCTCCTACACTAAAAGCAGTGAAAAGGAAAGTCACAGCTTCACTGAGACAGGAGAGAAAAGAACTGGCTGTTCAGCCATCAGTTTCACAGGAAGACTGGATTGTATCCAGCGTGGCATCGGCAGGCTTTTAGTTACAAGACAAGCAATAGCCGAGGACTTTGGGTCGTATGTGACTACCTGTGGCCGAAGGGGAGTTTGCTGTTCTCGTACCACTTCCAGCTGACATGGTGGTCCCCCTTAGAACGCGAACTCCTCGCTCTTTGGGCATCTCTGTGCCTTCCAAAAGAGGGAGAGAAGAGGGGGAAGCCAGTGCTAGCTCCTAGCAGCAGGGACAAGCCTGAAACTTTTTTGTCTTCCAGATGAGAATGAGTGCATCATTGCCAACCCTGCCTTTGTCGTGTATTCCTCTATCGTCTCCTTCTACGTTCCTTTCATCGTCACCGTGCTGGTGTACGTGCAGATTTACATCGTGCTCCGGAGGCGCAGGAAGCGCGTCAACACCAAGCGCAGCAGCCACGGCCTGGACTCGGACACGCAAGCCCCGCTGAAGGTAACCAGACCTCTGCCTTGCTCTCTGCAGCCTCCGTCCTTTCCCCTTCCTGCTCCACTTCATTCCCCAAAGCACTCCCTCCTTTCCCCAAATGACACTGGCTGGACTAGGTGAAACACTGGATCACAAAGGTGAATGCTGTGTCCTGTGCCATTCTGGAGTCCCAGTTGCACACTCCGGATTATCAGGTCACTGGCTGGTGCTTCACGGGCCTCCCTGCATCTCAGGGGATGTTTCATCAGCAGATCTGCATTAGGAGCTGCTTCATTAACCAGACTGCATTTCCTTTGGCTCTGCAGAGTTTGGGTTGGGGTACGCAGGACTACAGGCTATACTATTTTCCAAGTCAGTCCTGCTGTCGTGATGAAGAAGTTGAATGGAAATGGTTTGCGTGGCTGGGGTGCAAACTACATCACTGGTAATGATACCTCTGCAGTGAAAACAGCCTCTCAAAGCATGAGATACGTATATAAGCGGAGTCCAGCTGAGCGCGAGAAGCGTGAGACCGCTTGTCAAAACGCTACTCTCACAGCACATGCCAAACAGCCAGGAGGAATGCATAGTCCCAGAGCACTACCTCCAAACCGCATTACCTCAGAGGCCAGTGCCATGTCAAGCAAAGGAGGCAGTAAGACAGGGATAGAGTGAAACATAAGCAGATCTTCGTGGTTTCCTTCCTTGGTGAAAAGCACGAGGGATGCTTGCCTCCATTACTGCTTCTTCAGAGTAGTTATCCATCATTCTCAGCACCTTAGTTGCACTGATTAATTCCTGCTTCATGCCCTGTGTTTGTATTTCCACGTGCCTCCCTTACCAGCCTCCCTTCCCAATTACTATCTGCTTGTGTAACCTCTGAGCCGGTGCTTGCCCCTTAGGACAAATGCACTCATCCAGAAGACGTCAAGCTCTGCACAGTTATTGTGAAGTCCAATGGGAGTTTCCAAGTTAATAAACGCAAAGTGGTGAGTGTTAAAGAGAAGTGGTAGCTTTTCAGAGCATTTAGCTTTCCCCTTTTCTCCCCTCAGGATGCAAAATTAATTTATGTAGCGGGGGAGAAAAATAAACTAAGAACAAAGGTTGCCATTCAATCTCAACATTTAAATATTCTTCCCATTCCTTAGAGTGAAGCAGCGGGTTTAAGATCACAGATCTCAAAAAGACAGACTAAGCTCACCTAAAGATCAGCTGTAAAAGCTGTGACATTTTAACATTTTGTGTCTTTGATTTTCTTCTCCTCTGTTATTTATTTTAAGTCTTGGACTGCACTGGCTTTGTCGGGTTTTCCTGTTGATTTCGGGGTTTTTTAATTTATATTCTGAAAACCGAAACAAAATCTATGGGAAGTGGAGACAGTGTCTCTCCCATTTCTTAGCCCCTTTGCACAATAAAGGAGAGTCATTCACTGCAGTTCTCTCGGTCCCATCTCCCCAAAAGTATCATCTGTAAACTCTTTACAGTCTTTTCTCCAAGCGTCTACCAAAAATGTAGGGAGGGACAAGAGGGATTGACTGTTCTTCGACATCATCCAGCTTCACTCTGTAAGGAATGTTCATTGCTCCTCTCTGTATATTTATCTGTCTTTATGTTGTGGACATTTGATTCTTGTCCAGGAGGCGGAGAGTCACATAGAAGACATGGAAATGGAGATGGTGTCCAGTACCAGTCCCCCTGAGAAAACCACCATCAAACCTGCGGCACCAAGTAACCATCAGTTGGTTGTGCCAGTTGCTTCTCATCGGGGCACCAACCCAAGCCTGCAGGCACGCTTGGACAGCCCTGGGAAAGCAGAGAAGAATGGACACGCCAAAGAAACACCCCACACAGCCAAGGTCTTTGAGATCCAGTCTATGCCCAATGGCAAGTTAAGGACCTTTCTCAAGGCTGTGAACAGGAGGAAACTGTCACAACAGAAGGAGAAGAAAGCCACTCAGATGCTAGCCATTGTACTCGGTGAGAGCGCGCATTGGCTTCCTCTCATGTTTCTGCAGGAAACCAATAGCTGCCCAGGATCAGGGTGGCCAGTCTGAATGTCTGGTGTAGACGGTTTTTCCGAGCCTCCACAGTAATCATTTCACTTGATGCACTAGAGGATATGTAGGCAAGTAGGCAAGAGGCTGCCAACAGGAAGGCTACCTCCTTCCCAGCAAGGAACAGTTCACAGTGCTGTGCCAAAGGCTCAGAAAGCTGTCCATCTGTGGGGTGTTTGGACTGCCAAGAGACAGCTGGGTGCTGGGGCAAGAGAGCTCATGGGCTTTCTAGAACACAAAAGGCAGCATAGCTCAGCCAGAAACCAGCACAGGGTCTGGATTTTTTGATGTAACCGGTCTAATTACATCAGCAAAGAAGTTCTTTACTACCCAGAATGTAGACTATGAGACTTAACAGACAATCAGGAGGCTTATTCCTCAGGGAAACATATTTCCTTTATATCCGTAAGAACCTTACTGTTCTCACAGTCTCAAAACTTGTCCAGCTTTCAGCAATCCAAAATCTGTCTCTTTCCTTTTCCCCCAGGTGTTTTCATCATCTGCTGGCTCCCATTCTTCATCACTCACATCCTGAACATGCACTGCGATTGCAACATCCCCCCAGCAATGTACAGCGCCTTTACGTGGCTTGGATACGTCAACAGTGCTGTCAACCCGATTATTTACACCACCTTCAACATTGAATTTCGCAAGGCTTTCATGAAGATCCTCCACTGTTGAAAGTAAAAACAACCACCGCATTTTAAGAATGAGAAAACAGAAACCTATGCCATTCACGCACACAAACGGGCGGCCACGGAGAGGTCTCCAGCTCTTGTATCGGGCGTGAGGCCTACAGTGTCAAAACAGTGCCATGCCCATGCACCTGTTGGTAGGGACGTTACAAGAACCTTCATGGGGGAGGTTTTCTCATCCCTCGAGGGCGACCTTTGGACCCTGGGACACCAATCCCAAGGGCACTTTCCAGAGCTACCCTCACACTGTGTTTAAAGCGGAAGCAAAAATCAAGACACACTCACTTGATTCTTGCCTGTGGCCGTCTAACCTTGAGTGCATTAAACACAGACAGCCGCAGAGCCATGCGAAGGTAGCGGTAAGTCACTGTCGCTACTGGCTTGCGTGTTACGTCATTGATACAATTCTCACCAAAGACAAGATCATCTTTTCCGCTTTGCAATAGGAGCCAGAAAGAGCTTGCGGAAACCCCATGCAATAGCTTTGCCTTCACCTCAAGCTGACTTACCCAGTATTAAACTGCTGAAGCCTTGAGAAAAAAAAACTTTAAGAGGTCCCCAAAGGGGCTAAGAAGGTTCTGCACCTACAGATCCAAACCCTGCAACGATGTGGACCTACAAGCAACGGGCGGAAGGAAGAAGGGGAGCGTAAGTCTCATGTGGGACCACTACATCCGTGTAAATACGAACAAATAGAATGAATCGAACAGAAGCCCAAGCCAAAAACTAGGTGGAGAGAAACTAAAGAAGCGACCCCTTGTATTGCATGGAATACACGCTGGTCAAACAGGACACCAACTATCATCTATCATCAGCCTGCCCAGCAGCAACCTCTGCCCACCAGCATTTCATCTCCAGTCTCTTACAAGAAGTTACAAAGCTAGGTGAGGAATGTTAGTGTGACGAACGTAGAAACGCGACGACAGTGTGCCAGGTGAAGAACCTGCAGCCGTTTCCGCCTCAGATGTGAACTTGAACAAGTCAGTTAGGTCCAGTTAAAGTTAGGTCCAGTTCTTCTCACCTAACTTCAGGGTGCCATGAAGCCAAGGACCGCCTCAGATATGATTTGCCTATGTCTCTCGACAGAGAGCATGCAGAAGAGCATCGTGCCTAATTTAAATTAACTGTAAAGGAGATAAAACTGTGTTTTGGAAAAAGCCAGAATAAAAGCCCAAGAAAGTCCCTAACTGGACCTGCTCCTGTGTCCAAGTCGGAATCTGGAAAGGTCTGGATATTTCCAGCATCTCTTACCCTCTGATATCTATCTTTCATGGATTAAAACAATTGAAAACCCCTAACAGCATAATTTCACCATGCTGACTCCGGCATTGCCAAATTCACACTGCACTTACTAATTGTATTCAGTTCACAATATATTTTGTAATATCTCTGTAAATAAAATACAGTAAGATGAATAAAACAAGACTGAAATAGGTCTGGCTAGAAGTTAATGTAGGATGTGGAGAACTAGATGATGACGATAGCCATATGCAGAGGCAGGCTCCCAAGTTCTAGTTACCTGCCGTTTTCTAAAGATGTTAAAACACAATCCAGAGAGCAATATAATCCCTTTTCTCTCTATGCAGTTCGTGGAACATTCACGTAGTTTCTGCTTCAGAATAGATAAAGACTGCTGCCAAGGGGAGTTTCTTTTATTCTGTGGTTTTCCTATATTACTAACAAACATTTTCCTGTGGGATAGATTGTGCTGGTAGAATGTGTTCCAGCTGTATATCGAGAAGAGATTGTGTCAAGCAGCCGTAACACGTGCTCTCAGCCTTTTTCTGAAATTGGAACAGGAGTCTCACCTCAACCCAAAGGTTTCCATTCTAAACCTTGTGCTCTTGGTAGATGCCAATAACCAGTTCATTAGTGTTTAGCCCATGGACTTGAATAACATTTGAATTCGGCTTTGCAAGGTCTGCCCATAGCTATACATTTAAACAAAGAGTGATCCTACAGATGTCCCAGCTTCGTGAAGAGTTTTAGCATAAGCAGAATGCTTCTGATTTTACCCTCAGCAGAAACAGGTCCCATGTATTAACTGATTAGGAGAGTACCTGCTTATCAGAGCAACATTTTGTTGACATACAGGAACCAGGCGTTACGTGAGGCTGTCAGAACAAAACGTTACAAACATGTAAGATGGGGCCAGTCACTCTTCTGTCCTAGCATTGTAACGCACAGCTAAGGAACCTTTGTACTTTGTATGTTAGTAGGTTTATAGGCAAGGAAAAAACCCCACTTCTTACAGAAGCAAAGGAAACTTTCCAATCTTAATCAGAAAATTGGAAACACTAACTCAAGAGATCTCAGGCACATGTTATTTGGGTTTGTTTTTTTTTTTCCAGTTTTAACCAAGCAAGTTCACTCAGTGATGGGAATCATCTCAGACTGGTATTACTTAAAAGATTCAAAGAGTAATGTAAAGTCAGTAGTGTTTTTGGTGGAAAACCAGTAACAAGATACTCCTCAATTTTCTAACATATTTACAACTGCAAAGCAGAAAGATGCCATTTGACTTAGTGAATTAACAGATGGGGAGCTGAATCAAGATAGAAAATAATATGGATATAGACAAAAAAAAAAAAGCTTTAAAGCATTTGGAAGTTGCTATAGGCAATATTCGCCCTGTACTAAAACCTGGTGTGAGCCCTCAAAATAAGTGGAATGTAAATAATGTGTTAACTTTGTGCCATAATTTTATTTTGTGTTCAGTGTTAACCCGGGACAAAATAATTCTCTTCAATACTGCATACCTTGTTGAAAAATTTTGTTTCTGAATCTAGATGCAGAACCTTATAGCTGAACTCACCTGAACTACTAGATGAAACTCTCCCAAAATGTCATGGAGGAAAAAAGCTGCTGAAAAAGGGCCTATGCCCTTCATGTGTTTGCTAACTCGGACCAAAAAAAGGTGTCATTTCCTAGAGATTAAGTATTTGGTGGCAGAACTTACCTGCAGCCCATCATTCATCCCAATGACATTTTAAGCCACTTGTTCCTAACCCTCCAGACTCAAAGGTATCTTGTGGGAATATCTATGCCCCCACTGCCCTTGGAAAGTGGGTAATGCCACATCCGTTCATGTCCTCTGCAGCAGGTTTTCCTTTCCCATAAAACATCTGCACTTAAAGACAACAAACTAAAGCACTTTCCACCCAGGAATCAAGCCTTCATAACTCTTTTTGAGAGAGGACCAAAATACATCATCATCTCTGGCTGTACAAAGAACAAACTAATGCCAAGAGCAAGGACGGCCTTTGCAATGTGTGTAGCACCTGGCACAATGACAACCAGCCCATAGTTGTGATGGAAGGAGTTTGTAGAAACTTCCAAAAATCGTGAGAAGTCAGTTGCATCACACAGGACGCTGAGGCCTCTTGCCCACAGATCTGAGTCTGGCAAATACAGTCCTCACGGTTATTTCCACTCTGGAAAAAATACTGCTTTCCCAAGGACTTCAGATGGCAGGACATGCTGATGATGGTAAGCGTACTGATATGTTTTTTAAAACACCTTAGTGAGAAGATTCGATTTCTTTGATCCTGAAGAAGAACTTAAGACCCTTGCTATAGTCCCTATTTTGTGATTCATTATTTGTAATTGAAGCTTTGGTTCTGCTTATTGAGTCTTCCTGCTCCTGCTTTTCTTCCCTGTGATTCACAGCTCGCTGAAGCCCGTGTGGCTCTCTGAACCCTCTGAACAGGTCTTAATTAAGAAGCTAGAGAATTCTGCCTGCACTGTATTTGGCGCTTGCCTGCTTGCTCCCACTACAGTCATGATACTGTTTAGCTTCCTGATTGAAGAGTAAACTAATTACAGTAGGTCTAACCAGCTTATTAAATCCTGCCGAAATGAAAAGGAAAACAGGAAAAAAAAAGCCACTACCTCTGTGGTGAAAATCTCCAGTGAAAACACGACTCCCTCAAGAGTCAAGAATGTACGATACCCATCACAAGTAGATGTGACACCAATAAATGTCTTCATGCAGCACTGTAATTAAATAGAGACTTGCACAAGCTACCCTGATGTTATATGCTTATTTTGTTCTTTTTACCAGAAGCAGCAACAATGGTGTTTAGCTGTAAGGGGTCAGACTCTAGGGACCTATGATTACGCTACACACCGTACAAACACGCAACAGGAAAAGATGTCCTCCACACGAGACTGTGCGGTTTTTTCTGACTTGCTTTTCAGATTAGTTGCATTTTTTTTTCTTTTTCTCCCTTACCCCAGTCTATCCGTAAGAATTCTATCTTTTGTCTAGACTGAAGCTAGGAGAATCAGACATGGGAAAGAAAGGGTGCAGAAAGACACAGACAGAAAAGAAAATGTTCTTAAATTTCTCCATCTCTCTTCTCTTCTAGACAGAAGCAGACTGGGGAGGATTTGGAGGAGGAAGGGATGAAAAACAGCTAAGTACCTAAGAGCAGTCATGCTGGTACTTCTGGCATCACAACAGCTGCCTGTATTTACTTTTTGGCACTACTCATTCACATCTGGTCCATAGCAGTACAGGTTCAAGATGGGGACTGAAAGCCACTGCTCTCACTGGGACACCGTTTGTCTACCTGAGCTGTAAAAGTTGAGGAAAACAAACACATACGAGTCAAACATACGCACCAACCTGTATGAGTTTGGTTGGCAACAATAAACAGTTGTGTGGAATCTACAAACTTGCGACCTCTCTGCATGGAGAAAACAAAGAGAAGCTGTCAGACCACTATGGCACTGCAGACAATTGGTATGACAAGTACAATATTTTTAATACTGTATTTTACGCAGAAGTTAATACGCCCCCAAAACGTAATTATGGGCTTCATTTGGCTAAGCACACCTAACGTAAGAATTCACATCAGTGGGAGTATTTCACCTGTCCACTGCTATCACTTGGTCTTGCACAAAAGGTTTTGCTGAAGATGCTGCATGGGGCTGGCAGTGCAGAGGGCACACTGCAGCTGAGCCCTGTGTAGTAGCTCATAC